TAAAAAAACTTCTGCCACACAGGAACACTGCGCGCCGGTATCCAGGAGTGCGGTGGCTGGGATATTATTTACCAAGACTTCAATCTTCGGAAGAGTTAAATTTTTCACCATTACTGTATTTAACTTGTAGGAAGAGGGGTTTTCGTGGCCTTCGGATTTCCGCACCCTCTCGTCAGCAGAAATCCGTTTTAGTTTAAATTATTTTTCCTTTCGTGCTTTCCTTCTTTTTTCCACTGGCCTTGAGACTTTTTTTTTTCCTGGATTGCTATTGAACTGTCGACGTTCGCCGGCTGTTTTTGAATGCTCGGGTTTCCTTGCCCACTGATTCGCTTTTTCTCCGTAGCCGTGTGCTTGAGTTGCTGTAGTCTTGGCGTACCAAATTGGTTTCGCTGTTGATATTGGCGTCTTCTTTCGAACTGTCCGCCGTTCTTCTACTTTCAAACTGGATTGCTAGCTCAAATAATTTTTCCAGTGTAGTCGGATTTCTCAATTCAATAAAGTCTTGCACTTGGGGTAGTAACCTCGGCAAAATCACTTGAATTATTTCAGGATCCGGACGGTTTTCCATACAAGAGCTTGAAAACGTGAATTTTTCTTAAAATAAAGCTCGAGAGGTTTTCGATTCTTTGTTGATATATAGCTAAAAAGTTCCGTTTCTAATTTCGCACGATCCCTTACAACAGGGAAGGCTTTAGTAGGGCAGTCTTGAAATTTTCGTAAGTATAGGTGGGACTTCCTGCTTGACCCAAGAGACTTCTCTACCGATACATTTGAACCAGTTAAGCGCTGGCCCCTCAAAGCGCTGGTAGCTAAGGTAACTTTTTGAAACTCGTGCACGGGGTAGAGCATGAAGTGGTCATCCAATTTTTCCAAAAAATGGTTTACCGGTGAGTTTTCCATTAAATGTTGCTTCTTGGTTTCATCGAAGCGCGCATGGTCTGGATGGACGAATGTAACCCAAATCCTTCCAGGGCGGCAGCTGGCATTTCTGGATTCTGAGCCGTTTCTGCAGGCAGCACAGGTTCTTCTTGAAACTCGGCCATGGTTATTCTTCTTCGTTGGGCGCCACTATCAGGTTCAATGTTTCTTCTAACCTTCTTCGGAAACATACAATGACCTGACTAGGAACAGAGAGCTTACTAAAGCTATGTTCACTAATTGTAGTAAGTAGGCAGGATACAGACGAAGGGTATACAAAACCCTTTATTTTTTTCTTTATATACAATGACTTCCGTACTTCGGAATACAATGACCCTCCACTCGGGGTCCTAACGTAAAAGGTATAAAAATAAAACTAAACTCTAATTTGAACTTTAGAATAACACACGTGGAAGATTGGCCTTATAATAACAGGAAGCGTATGTAGCACAGAGACTGTGAACACTACAATACGTTTAATTTATCAAGAGGATTAAAACCTCTGGCCTGGAAGGCAAATAGCAACTGCGTAACTTCTAAGGTAAGCGGCCTGCTTCGAACTCACTGCTGCTTCCTCTCTTCGCTTGGCAAAAAGGCCACACTTAAATACTTGGCGTTCGCCAGACAAACTTTGCATAAATCCTTAACGCTTATAATTCTGGCCGGAAGTAGAAAATAAGAAGTGATAGTAAAGATTTAAAATAAAATAAACGTTAGTAAAACTTAAGATCCTTACACCCTATCCAAGGATGAATATTTCCATATATAATATAAATAAAATATCCAAAAAGTTTTACCTCTAAATTATCTATTATAAACGTCACCAAAAAATTCATAACAAAACATTAAAAATGGTTACAAATACTTACTGTCAAATATTTAAATTATTTCCATGCACGTTTACATCCACTCAAACGTATACCAAATTGCTACAAACAGATAATTCACAAAAAACTTCATTAATGAAAATATAAATTAAACCATGTACACGTCGAATTATTTTTACATAAAAAAAATCCCAAATTGCACAAAAATGGCATTGCGCACACTCTTCACTATATCCAGTACACTACTTTTTTCTCATAAATTAGAAAAATTTCACGAAAATGCATGAAATTTTGTGAATCTTTAAATTCGGTAAAAAAAAGCACATATGAAATTACCTGATCGCGAAAAAAGTATATACCCTTTCCAAGGATGAACATTTGCACGTATAAAATAAATAAAATATCCAAAAACTTTTCTCTCTAAATTATCTGTTATAAACATCACCTGCCAATTTCTAACGCAAACATTAAAAATGGTTCCAAATACTTAGTGTCAAATACTTAAATTCTTTCCATGCACATTTACTTCTACTCAAACATATTCCAAAATACTACAAACATATAACTCTCAAAATCACGAGCATTAAATTAAAAAACACTACTTAAAATATAAATAAGCACATACATTATATTAATAAAAATTAGCTTACAATCCTAATTATTTTAACTAAATCATTGCTAATAACAATTTTCCAATAATACCATATTAATTCATTTACTCCTTACATTTAGAACTATGCATAAAAATAATATCCTCAAATAATTAAAAATACTAACTTACCTAATCTTCTACAGAATCTTGAGTGCATGGCGGATCACAAAATGTCCATTTTCACCAGATTTCTTGCACCGCCATTCAAACTTATCTGTAATATCCTTCCTTTCACACAATCTCATTTCATACCCACATGTTCGACATTCATATTTATCCGCAATTAAGCAGTTCTTTTCAATTACACATAAACGCAATAAAAATTTCGGATTTACTTTATATACGGCCATGGGATCCAAATATTAAACAACACTGTTTCACAGAACATAGAATGAACTAAAATGCGTACAGCAGATATTTTTACAAATTTAACCCCTTTTCCGATTAAAGAACAGTGATTCGTCCATTAATGTCACATGACATATCTCATGATCTCTCATTTCCCTAACACAAAATAATGCGTAATTGGAACTGAGTACTTCTCACATTATTCCCAAAGTCCTAGGTAAGTAACCTTTATCGCCTCCAAAATGTCGCCAAACTACCTGTTACCATATTCCAAAGATCAGCCAAAATTGAGTATCTTATCAACAATACATTTGATGTAGAATACTCTCATTCTGAATAATCATATACATTCACAGCAAAAGCAAAAATGAATCTGAGCTTTCTGCAGATGAATATCATAATTTTTCTAATGACTGTGAACAAAGTAATTTTTATGGGAAAAAGCACTTCAAATGGTGAGAAAAAGAACAAAATCGGGCGGTACGAACACCAAAGCACAACATACTAATTCAGCTCCTTGGTCTGAAAAATCCTGCAAAAATAGGCTATAGAGCAGAGTGGGAAGATACTTGGAATTTATGTTCATATGTATTGTTCTAGTCATATCCTGATGCTACAAAACTGACCGTATCTGAAAGTTGAGATAACAGTTAGAAGAAGCCTTTTACAGAAGGAAATTAAGAGAATTTATTTATCAAATCAAGAAGAAAAATTAAAAGAAAGAAAAACATGTAGCTTGTGCCCACCTTGTAAGAAGAGAAAAACAGTACACAAATGCTTGGAAGAAAGGAACCAGTAAGTCTTCAGTGCTCTCAGGGGTGTAGCTAGAGGGGGGCAAGGGGGAACATCTGTCCCTGGGTGTAGCATCTAGAGAAAGCCAAACTGGTGTTATGAATTTTTGAATTAACTATTCTCTATTCTTAGGAAACAGGAGAGGGTGCGAAATCTTCAACTGTCCCCGGGCACTGAAAATCCTAGCTACGACTCTGAGTGCTCTCAAAATAATGTGTTTTGACTGTGTATCATCTTACGATTTATCCTTACAATAAGATATACTAATCTATTATTTATTAATATTTAAATTCGTTGTTGTAGAAAAATGGTTTAATTGACAGTAATACTTAATAAAGTCACATATTTTCATGCATGTTTAATAAAATCTTTGTGTTCTTTAAAAGCTTTGTTCCTTAAAACGAAGAAAATAGTCATTTTTATATGAATTAAACTGTGTAAAATTAAATTATTTATGTTTAAAATATACTGATTTAAACGAATTAAAATTCCATAAATATGCGTAAAGTGCCTATGACATTCCTTAAAAAGCATAAAAGTATGTATTTTTACGCGATTTTTTAAGGCGATCTGTGAGACCGCTCACAACAATTACGCCGAAAAAATTGTCACAGCAGTTACAGGTTAATATTTTTATCAAACAGTACTTTTCTATGGATGTAATGAATTTCCAAAACTATTAAGTCTGCAAGTAGAATACCTTCTTTAATTTCTCTCTGGGATACCGTGGAGTAGAGGTCAAGAGGAAACACTTATTTCCTCTAATTATTCCATTTCTTGATTACTCCAACATTTTTGCACACGAAGTACACATATTTTTTGTTTTACGTCCACTAAGTCTTTTTGCGCGCAGGGCTTCTTTTCTTCATGTTAATAATAATAATTTAAATGATTTTCTGAGTATCTTAATTAAGTGATAATTTCCGTTTGCTTAATAATTCATATTAAAAGGTTTTATATACATATCTATAATTCGTATTTTAGGAAAACATTTAGTTTATTCTGCAGTGATATCATATTTCTTATTATGTTACTTATATTTCGGGGCAGAAAGACTGAGCGGGAAGCGAAGTATGGAGCATGTGTATGAAATTCGTTACGAAATTTGACTTTAAACATGATAAATATGTTTCATTCACAGTCGCGTTAAGTCGTTTAGAGCATATTTAATGTTCGTAAACAAACACAAAAATTCTGAATTGCAATATAAATGCGCCTAAAGAATGAATGATAATTTTCTTTGATGTTTTTATGCATGTTTTGTGAAACAAATATTTCTTTTAGTTTATAAAATTATATTTAAAAGCTGACAGTTTATTTTAAGGCTGTTAAAGAATATATGTCTTTTCAATCACATGCATAAATATTCTCTGCGGGTATTGAAAAGTCATAGTTGCAATGTTAAAAAACTGGACTGCGTTCTATTTTTTTATGAAATGTACACCTGACATAGGAAATTATATTCCAAATACGCTGCATAGGTGTCGTATTTTAAATCTTTTAAACCCATTAACTCGTTTCAATCACTTGAAACAATTATACACTGTTAGAAAATTCCAATCATCTAGTGCTTTATCGAAGAGTAGGATAGGAGAAGAAAAGGTAATTTCCTATTCCTGATATATTTATTTCAAATTGTATATTACTTTTGACGGGATTACTTTTTATAGCTGTATCTTAAGAAGTTAGGTTGGAAGTAAGGTTAACTAGATTAATTTTAAAATAGTGTTTGCTGTTAGCAATATGGGTGAATTTTTTCGTATTTATTAAGTTCAGGATTACACGGAAGATGGTATATTGTGAAGTGAATTTGTTTAGGAATTTTAGTTACGTTTCTTTTTATACGAATTTTAATTAGCGATAAAAATTGCCATTTAACATATTCTGAAATTCGCATTTATTGTATTTATGATCACAAATGTTACTTGAAAGCTGTTTTTTGCGAAAACATATTCTAAAATTATAGAGACAAATAACTTTTTAAATCAGTATTTGTTTAGAAAGCAATATACATAATGGATCTACTAGAAAACATTAATAAAGATTGGAAATTTAAAAATTAAAGAAATATTTGAGTTTAAAATTTGAAAAAAGCTATAAAGATTGGTATAAAAGCATTTTCATATAATTTGATTATACATTTGCCATACTTAAATGCATTATTATTTTCAAAAGTTTTGTTCATAGAGTAAAAATTCCAGTGAATATAATTTGGGATATTATAAATGGTATTTGGTGTAATTTAATTCTGGACAATTATAATGTTAAAAATGGAGAAATCATTAAATTTATTTAGTTTTGTGCACTGATTTTAATAAACAGTGCTGTTTATTAAACTTTCAAGTTTAAGGAAAAAATTATGAATATTTCATTGTTATTGTCTGTATATTTCATCTATAAGCCTCATAGAGAGAAAGTTTCAGTTTCATTTCTAGGAGCATGATGAAGTAATGGGAGATAGATCCTATGAGTATAGAGAATTGGAATGAAGTGTTATACTTTTTATTGTATATCAGACCTACTGTACCTTTTCTGATTCACTGACCATGACTGTGAGTATTTTCTACACAGTGTTTTTTGTTTTACTTTTGGATTGTAGCTATAAGTCCAACTTTCATGATCAAAAATAATCCTAGAGATGAAATAATGTCAATATGAATCATCTCATGAAATTCAAATAATGTGTAACAGTGGCTGATGCTTTTAAGTATCAAGAGTTATGAGCTTAACATTGTAGCAGAGCTACACATGTATAGGTTTTCTCTTGAGTATCTTCTGATAAGTTTCAAAACTGATTTCAGTCACTGTCAATTTTTTAATATTTTATTAAATTTGTAGTTTAAAAATTATTAAGGCAGTGGAGTTGTACTACCAGAACAATGCAAAACTTTTGTGCAGGAATTCTGTGCATATAAATTCATGTTGCCAGTTAAAAAACTGAATAACATTAGGAGCAATAACTAGTGTTTGGCTTGTATGAAACAAAAATGCTTGTAGCAACGATGAATATGAATGCATACCACATATGATTATGTTATGAAACAAGTAATATTTGATGAAAAATTTGGTTCTTTCTGATTATCCACATCCTTTCCACCTTTTTGAAAAGTATTAATGGCACATGGCTTCATGATGTAATTGGAAGTATGTCTAACTAACAGTCAGGAGATTCAGATTTTCAGCGTTGGTGAGGACACTGCCAACTTTTTGTGCTACCTGGCTTTCAAAAAAGAATTCTGAATAGTTCATCTACAGTGGCACTCAAACTAAAATGTGGTGAACAATAATTTGTCACCACTAGTTTGGCAATAGGATCCTTTCCATCCAGTAGCCCTCTGAATGAGATAAAAGGTAAGGTATTTTCTCACTCCTTATCATATGCCTTCATGGTGTAATTGAAAGCACATCCAGCTAGCAATTGAGAAGTCTGGAGTTCAGATCCAGGCAAGGGTATTGCTGTTTCTTCATGTCAATGGCTTTAAAAAATATTAAATGAATCTGCAAAGTTTGTACATGAACAGATTTCTATCTTCAAATTTAGTGCTTGTTTTTCTAATTAGTGTTTGTTTTCACATTGAATAATATTTTTTTCTTTGTAAGAAATCAAAATAGGACTGTGGAATTTGTCAGCTGATGAAAAAGGACACAGTTTCTTTCTTTAGAAATATAGCGTTATGCACAACAGTATAGAATAAAAAAATTTGCACTTCTTAAATAGTTAAATATTATGGACTGAAATTTGTGCAGTTCTCTGATGTTTTTAAGCAAAATAGATCACTGTGTATGTGGTGAGAACAACTGCATGTGCAATGTCTATTTCTGCAGTTCTCAGAATTTTTTTTACGTGAAAAAAGATTCATATGTACAAGAGTAGAACAGCATCTCAAAAACAAGTTATATAAGAATTTCTTTAAAAAAGTAAATTCTTTTATTATATGCATTTCTTGCTTTTTTAAATTTTATCAATTTATTACTGTTTTGTGGAATTATTAGCAGCCACCTTCAAAATTGCTGTTGCCTTTTACATGAGAACTGTTTCTGAAGTGAGGTGCACATAATCAGAATGTACCCAAAATTTTATTAAAAGTGAATATCTTTGGAAGTAAGTATAAAATTTAGACATTGTTTATCACCATGTAAATTTGGACATACATATCATAATATAATTTCATTTTGTTAATAAATTCCTTAGATAGAATTTGGAGAGTTGTCACAAGGCGTTGTATTTTCAATGCATTCCGATTATCAGTCCAACCATAAAAAAGAGTCACTAACCATTGACAACTAATTTTTCACTAAGCTAAAATGCAAACAGCCCTAATAAAAGCTATTAACTTTTTTTTCATTGTTTTCTTTGTGTACAGAGTGATTTGTTTTAGCTTAAAAAGCATCAAAGAATTCCAGAAACTCAGCACTGCACATACCATCATTCTCCCTCTGTACATAGCAATCTGTTTTGACCTGAAAAATATTGAGGAATTGCACAAATTTGGTATTGTGCATGCATTTGTTCTAACCATGTATACAGCAGTCTGTTTTTATTTGAGAAAAAGAGTTTCACAGATTTTGCTCCATAAAATTCAATTGTTTGTAATAAATTTTCATTGAAATGTAATTTGGTAAAAGTATAGTTTAGGATGCCCCTTGGCGATTTTTGGCGGTACATGGATACCGATTTTGTGCAATTCTTTGACTCTTTATTTTGGCTAAACAAAGCCAAAATAACAAGACAAATAATTGCACAAACTTGGTATCCATGTACACATTGACTTCTTTTCACTTGAAAAAAAACCCCGAATTGCACAAAAATGGCATTGCGCACTTCTTTGACTTTATCCATGTACACGTCGATCTATTTTCACTTTAAAAAAAATCCCATGATTGCACAAACTTGCATTGCACACTCCCTTTACTTTGTCCATGTACACATTGATATATTTTCACTTAAAAAGTTAAAGGAGCACCAAAGTCTACAATATAGGCAAACAAAAAGTGCATAATCTCAATAAAATACATTTTAAACCAATAGGATTTCCATAACATTCAACTACTCAGGCTACCATAAATGAAACAACAACTTGCCGATAAATCAAACAACTTCGCCATAATACAAGGGGTACCTTAAAGTCTACTCTACCCATGTAATTTCTTGCTTTATCTAATGCTTTTTTTCAGCTGGCAAAACTCTACAGTCCCATTACAATTTCATGTAAGGGAAAAAAATTGCTTTAAGTAAAAAAGCTGTAATGAGTATCAAAAACGAAGCTGCGGTAAAAGTATAGTTTAGGGTACCCCTTGCCGATTTTTGGCGGTACATGGATACTGATTATGTGCAATTCTTTGACTCATGATTTTTGCGCCATAAATCACCGCTACACAAAGCTAGAATAACAAGACAAACGATTGCACAAAGTCGGTATCCATATACACATCGAGTTATTTTCACTTAAAAAAAAATCCCCGAATTGCACTAAAAGGGCATTGCGCACTCCTTTGACTTTATCCATGTACACTTCAACCTATTTTCACTTAAAAAAAATCCCCAAATTGCACAAAAATGGCATTGCGCACTCTTTTAACTTTACCCATGTACACGTTGACCTATTTTCACTTTAAAAAAAACCCCAGAATTGAACAAACTTGCATTGCGCACTCCCTTTACTATATACACATCGATATATTTTTACTTAAAAAGTCAAAGGCCAAATTCTAACTATAGGCGAACAAAATACTAATCTCAATAAATACATTTTAAACCAAACAATAAAAAACATAAAAAAGGAAAAACATAATTCAGAAGTCAAACAACAAAAATCAGTGTTATATTTACAAAATTTTTCACAGGACTAGTTTCGATGGTTTTACCGAATCACCATTCTCAGCTGCAAAACCGCAAATGAAAGACAGGAAATAATGATTAGATAAGATAAGAAAGCATGGACAAGAATAAGCAAGTGGTGCCATCTGTTGGTGAAACCAGAACTAAAACATAATTTCTTTAAAGGCCAAAAACTAGAACAGAAAGATTTTTATGAATGTGAAATGCCTCTAGAAAATCCAGTTCTCCAATGGAAGATGTTTTTTGAATAATTTTGGCAGCAGAAAAATTGAAATGTGATTTCGGACCAACAATGTTGAGCAACAGAAGACTTCTGGGTTTCCTTTTTTCTAACATATGCTCATGTTCCTTGATCGAAATTTTAAGGCTCTCTTAGTTTGGCCAATGTAAATTAAAACCACACTGGCAAGGAATCCTATAAATACCCCAGGAATTCATATCCGGAATGGGATCCTTGAGTATGGAACTCGGAAGTTTATTGATTGGGAGAATAAACAACCCGAAAGTTAAATTTCTGGAAAATACGTGCAACTTTATAGCTACTTGATGGAAAGAAGGGAATGGCAACATAATTTTTATAATCTCCTAAAATAAGAGTATGTCTTTTGGTGTGTTGAGATGAGAATTTTTTAATTGCTTTATTAATAATGTTGGGTGAAAAGCCCCTCAATAGCTATTGTTTTTATATAATTTAGTTCTTCATCAAGGGATAATTTGGAGGAGCAAACTTGAAGAGCATGGAAAACATAGGGATACAATGAAGGTAACTTTTGTTTAGTCGGATGACAATGATTTGAAGTGTGGTGGAAGGCAAACCGATGAGGGTTTACAGTAAACCGTAGTACTGAAGTTGGATGTGTTATGTGTGACCAGAATGTCGAGAAACGGAAGAGATGCAATCTCAATTCAAAGTGAACTGAATAGCAGGATCAATAGAATTCATTGTTGAAATAACTTATTTAAATCATTTATTGCCTTCAACGGGTAAAGTATCGTCTACGTAGCGGAACCATGCGGGAAGTTTAAGTTTCACCATTTTGATCATATAATGCATGTAGATATCAGTAGGATGGACTGAGGGGTCCCATGGCTAATCCCTCATGCTTGTAGTTATTTTGGAAAACAAAATGTGTTTGTTCAACAGAGTTGAGTGAGAAATTAGCTCATCAATTTCGATGCAAGAAAATGATTCGCGAAGTCTGGTCTAGACATCTTATGCACCTCCACTGGGACATTGGTGAATAATGATTTTACATCAAAAGAAGCCATGAGTAAATTACTAGGAGAAATGTTTTTAACCTTTTTTACAAACTCTATTGAAGTTTCAAACAATTTTCATTCATAATAATGCGTGTAGATATCAGCCAGGATGGGACTGAAGGGGCTTCCCATGGCTAATCCCTCAGTTTTCTAGTATATTTTCCAATCTCAATTTGCCTTCGGCCTTTAAAGAAATTATGTTTTAGTTCTGGTTTCAGCAACAGATGGCGCCACTTGCTTATTCTTGTCAGGCTTTCTTATCTTATCTAATCATTATTTCCTATTTTTCATTTGCGGTTTTGCAGCTGAGGATGTGGTTCGGTAAACCTCGAAAATAGTCCTGTGAAAATTTTGTAAATATAACGCTGATTTTTGGTTTTGGACTTCTGAAAGTATTTATCGGGTGTTATTGTGTCGTAATTAAGAAAAAACAGTATACATTTAAGCACTACCAAAAGCAAATATTCACTTACCCTATTAGAAGTTCTTGTCTTTGTTGGGCACAAACAAAATACAATCATACTCAAAGACATTTTTAACCAGGTACTCTTGCTGATTGAACGTCTCAATAGTGACACTGAACCTTTCTTCCTACAAACTCATTGAAATCCATCTAATTGGTTTTTACATTCTACTTAGACGCATATCCTTCCTACATACAGGACACTTATACTGGCTACTAAGTAAACCTTCAATTACACACCAGTCAATTAAGCTCTTTTCCCCTTTCGCTCCAATCGTACAGACGCTTCAAATTAATCTTACTACATTTGGCCATTCTACCATCTAAGGAATCAAACCAACACACACCACAAAAACGCTTACAAAGCATCCCATGATTCAAAATTTCCCAGAATCATGCACCTGATTACGTCACAATAGGGTTTCCATGCCATTCAACTACTCAGGCTACCATAAATGAAACAACAACTTCGCCATAATACAAGGGCTACCTTAAAGTCTACTCTACCCGAAGCTGCTTTGCTGAGTGTGCATGCATACTTTTGTTGCTATTCATTTGCTGATATATATTTTGCCAATATTATCAGTTGCCTACTTTGGTGATCTAGTACATTGCCTAATGAATTGTTTTTAGGATTGGGTGGATAATCCAAAAGTTCTTTTCAAGAGAAAATTCGATCATGCAGCAGTTCCTCTGTGAGTTTCTTGAGGGACTTTGGGTCCTTAATGCTCTCCTGATGTTCAAATTAGAAAATTTTGTTGGTCAGTTTATTTGCTTAGTACTTTGTTTTCAAGAAATATGTCAACTAAGTTTGCTTTCTATACATGCATATTACCATCCAGAAAAAGTCAGATCTGAATACACTTTAAAAAACTTTATATAGGATTATAAGATTTCATATCAGTATTTCTATACATGCAGATGTGTCAAATTCATAGCAGTACATCTACTTCTCATCATGTCTTTCCATGTTATCTCATTACATTGTCATGATGGTCATATTTCGTAATGTTCATAAGTATTTCATGTTTGTAACTTCTTCCAGAAATAAATGCATTTCAAATCAGGTTTTAAATTGAATCTGAGTTTATAAGACAGGTCCATTATTTTAGACTCCATGAGTGATGTTCTCTGTGCCAATTCAGGCAGTCTATCTTTTGTTGTTGAGTACTGAAAGGTATCATTTAGTCCTCTCAAACAAACTTTCTAATCAATCAATTCTTTTAGTGTAGTGATGTGGAAGTTCCAGGAGTGACTATAAGTTTTAAATGCAGTACCTGCTTGGGAAGCAAGTTTTGTTTATTTCGGGCAGAAAGAGATCTTGAAAAGCAGTTATTCTGTAAACTTGTCTTGATTTCCTCACAACAGCTTTGGTCTTTAAATTCTTTCAGAAAGCTAAAAGTGTTTGTCTTGAACCATTTAGTCATCTTGTCACTTTCACAATTTTTTTCCCTTTTTTTGCCAATAATCGATTTCTCTGCATTGCAAAGATTCTTCTATGTAGTACTTTGATGTCATAAAAACTGTTTGACATAATAAAGCCTGAAATCTAATCCTGAATGTCAGGAATTTCTGGGATAACACACTTTCTGCAGAAAGCTTACAGAGCTTTTTGATGACCTTGCTATTATTTACATTTCAGAAACAGATTAATCAAATTGGATTGGATAGTGATAATTAGGTTCCCATTTGCTAATTTCATGAAAAAATTTTCAAATTGGTAATTTTTCAAAATGTCATAATTTGGTACTACTTTGTTATTAAAGCGGCCAAAACTTTTAGTGACATTTGAAATTTGCATGTTAGAAATTAGGTGATTAAGTTTGCCAATTTCGATGACTAAGCAGGTAGCCACTTTAACAAGGAAAAGCCTTTAAGTTTTGAAGAGATTTAATTTAATAATCTTTAAATAATTTTGGGCAGCATGTATTATACAAGCAAGGTGTTTCAAAATGGTTGCCGCATGCTAATCTGAGCATTTTATTTAGACCTTTAGGGCAAAATTATGATTAATAAATTATTCATTATTCTTTAGTGAACTGAAATTAGATTTCTCAAATTGATACAAAATGTTAGACACTTTTACATGAAAAATTTAGGCCAATATAATTAATGACTACTTTCAAAGTTTCAACTAAAGATTTAATTATGAATGTTTAAAATAGCTGGAACAAATCCTTCCTAAAAATGAGGACCTTGCTTATGAACTAAATTTCCTTTCAGATGTCATGTTTATTATTGGTGAGAGCATATAAACCTTTTTCTTACCTAATTGAAATATGAATATTTCTGATCTCTGAAATATTGTAGGTGTTTCAAAATAGTTAGAACAGTTGCTCCTCAAAATGAGCAACTTGCTTATAAATTTCCTTTCAGATCTCATATTTTGTATTGGTTAGAGGCATGTAAACTCTTTTTCTTACCTAACTGAAATATAATGATTTTTTTTTTGGGGGGGGGAGGGTACATTTAATTGTCAAGCTTTATCTTCAGGAAAACTTCACAGTAGCAATTCTGAAACTGTTTTTATAAAATTCTGTAGCTTACTTTAGTAATTTTTACATCTAGGAGTACATATGTATATTGATATTTAAGGAAGTAAAGCCTGCAGCCATCTTTATCAAGTATACTATATATGTATATATGCTTAGATAGTATTGATTTATGTTTTTTAGAAAAGTAAACACATCATTCAATACAAGCCAAAATCAAGGCAACCTGTTATTCAGCTCTGGAGAGGTGCTACAGCAATTGATATTGCTGAAGCTACTGGCAGAGATATAGGTATCTGTTTTATATTCATTCTTAGCATAGTAAAAAAAATTTAATAAGATAATAAGACTTTTTAAATAAGACTTTTTCGTCCTTTTTATTTATTGATTAATTTTTATTATTGATTTGATTTGTAATTATAATTATTTTGACAATGCTTTGCAATTATTAGAGCTATTTGTTCTAAACATTTGTGGATAATTTTGTGCAATTGTCTTGTTACAATATTAAATCTGATTTTGGACTGGTTAAGTCTGATTTTGGACACTGAGCATGCATTTGGTGTAGTCACATGAACCCATCAATTGATAGTTTTGAGTTGAGCTTGAGGTGTTAATCTCGGATATTACTACCCCTTCAATGCTCCATCAATGATTTAATACTTCCATCTTGCATTGATAAATGGCATTTTTACCCCACCACCATCAAACTAATATAGCAGTAACACTATAGTTGTAATAAGAGAAAATTTAGCTTAATTTATTTTTTATTTATTTATATATTATATAGAATTCCTTCGCTGCCCCCAATAACATGTAAAGTTTTAACTGTACCTTACAGGTTACAGTAATAGTACTTAAATTTCTGAACGCGAGGCGAACTTATAAAAGTACCTGATGCCTCTAGGCCAGGGGTTCTCAACTGGGATTGGGATTTTGGTGTTTAATGGGGGGATGCATTCAGCCTTTTATCTAGCTGTTAAATATTTAGTTTTAGATTATGAATATAAAAAACTGGGTACTATTCGGTTTTGAGGGCTGTGAAAAATCGCCAAACTATTGTTGATGCCAGTGCTGCCAAAAGTAATTGCGGCAACCCTAACGCAAGAAAGGAAGTATAATAGTAAATACCTATCTAAGATTGATGTTTTAATTTAGATAAAAAGGTTAATTTCATATAATACTTTTTTATTATTATAATTTATATAAAAAAGGCTAAACATGACTGAAAGAAGCATCATTAGTATAATTTATATAAAAGTTGCTAAACATAATTGAAGGGATGCCTGCATCGCTATTTCACTACCAAGTTATCGCTAAAGCATACTCTCATCTCGTTGGTTGTTCAAACATAATTTTTTATAATGTGTGTGATTATGGCAAAGCCTCGAGGGCTATCTGCCTAAGGGAAGGGATGCCTTCGTGGAGTACTTTCTAAGGGAAACTGACTTGTATACATATTACACATAGGTAAAACCACGAAAACGCCCATGCAGCTAGTCCATTCATGGGATTCGAACCTCGGACCGAACTAACAGTGTTCAGCGACTTTACCGCTCGGCCACTGGTGGGCCAATTTTGTATAATCAATGATGCCTTTGAAAAAATTCTCGGTAAAGGGCAGAATCTCCCACTTGTTTGTTTGCCGCTTTTTACAAGGGTAAAAAAATTGGATTTTTGTCAATTTTCTTTTACTTTTTAAGTGAAAATAGGTCAATGTGTACATAGATAAAGTCAGGGGTGTACGCAGTGCCATTTTTGTGCATTTCTGGGATTTTTCTTTTTGAAGTGAAAATAGGTGATGTGTACATGGATATCGAGTATGTGCAATTCTTAAAAACGTCAAGCAGTGTGTGATTCTGCACTTTACCCAAAATTCTATTGCACACTTTTTGTCATGGGCAATTCCCAAATTGTTAAATCCATAGGATATCAAAAAAGAATTTAAAATCAAAAAAAGGATTTAAAAATTAAACTAGTATCTCAATGGGTCTGTAGAAATATAGAACTATGTATAAACTTATGCAATCTGAAATCAGCATGAACGCTAGATTTGGCACATTGTTAAATGGACATGTTTACTAGATTTGCGCTTTTGCGCATATATTTTCGCTGCAATTTTTTTACGGTTCTCAAAACGGAATAGTACCAAAAACTGCTTTCGTTCAAGTTTTGGTACAAAGATTTTCTATACTTTTTGCTGTTTTATTTATAAAATATGTTAGAAAATTATCTAAATCAATATATATATATGTATTTTTCGAGTTTTAGAGAGAAAGGGAGAAATTATCTTCAAGCATGCATGGTGGCAAAAGAGGTTAAGAACCACTGTTCTAGGCAAAAAAGAAAATTTAACCACTCCTAAATATTTTTTATATATGTGTATATATATTTTCTTATTCATAAGTACAAATGTATACCTTTGCTTGTTCATGTTTAAAGTTATATCACCATAAACATTCAAAAATAACTAACTCTAATATATTTGTGTACTTGTTTTAATACTCCTATAATAATTTTAAATTAATTCACGTATATCAATTATAGGTACAGTATGTTGCTACTAGATCAATGAATCATTCATGAGCCATTTTAGATTAAGTGTACCTCTCTTTAGATTTTTTAAATTTTTCAGATGATATTTCTGAACTTCTTACTAGTACTTATAATACTGCCCTGAAACTACATTTCGTTTTGCATAGTATTTCTCATATATTTAGAATTCGTTGAGAAAATAATTATCTAGACATAAAACTGGAGGATGAAGAGGTTACATGCAAAGTACAGAAATAATTTTATGTAAACCTTTTCAGTCATTTAGTTTTTGAGTAACATAGGGGTTTGAAGAACATTGTTAAGTTAAAAGCAAACATAGTTGAGAATGTAAAATGCAAGAATGCTATATAATATTAGCATATGCAACATTTACCGTGTTTTGCAATACTTTCATCCTTGCTTTTTAAGTTATATAAATGTAACCTTTTTGCTAGAAATAATTCTAAGCTCTGTGTATTGCTACAAAAATATAGAACAAAAAGTATTCATTTTCTCAAATTTTTGTCACATTTCAGATCATGTTTTTGAAGCTTTATCATATCTTGAAGGTTATGAATTTTATCAAGATCCTAACTTGGGTAAAAATTTAATTTTTTTATAAAAGTGTATACAGTAAGAAATTTAATTATAATTTAACTTTTTTGATTGCCTTTTACTTCTTATGATGTGATCAAATTCCTTTGCTGTATGTTTTAAGAAATGTTATATTCTAATTAATTATGTAGTTGCATATCATATCTTGCCATACGATCCCAAAAGAAATAAATTTTTGGTTAGAGTTCACTTTAGGGTACCCCTTGTATTACCGTGAAATTGTTGTTTCATTTATCGCCAAGTTTGTTGTCTCATTTATGACAACTTGAGTAGTTGAAGCCTATGGAAACCCTATTACGATGTAATTGGATGCGGCGAATTTGAATCGTGGGAAAAAATTTGAAAAATGTGTGTCAGATTTGGGGTAAGGGCTTGTGTGTTATGGATTAGTATGTTGTTATTTTTTGATTTACACAGTAAATTGGCTGAATGTGGTAAGATAAATTTGAAATTTCTGTAGGATTTGGAAGGAAAGGGAAAAAAGCATTAATTGACTGGTGTGTAAATCAATGTTATTTTGTAAATTTATGTGGCAACACCAGTATACAGATTCTAGTTCAGATAGTTTGGATGCTGTTAAGGAATTTTGTTTGACTGAAGATGCGTAAATTCATAAATAAGGTAAGTGGATATTTCCTTCATGTAGTGCTAAGATGAATTTCCCTTTTTATGTCATTTTATTGTTTGATTTAAAATGTAGTTTATTCAGATTATATATTTTTTGTTGGCTGCTCCTTTGACTTTTTAAGTGAATATAGTTTCATATGTACATGGACAAAGTCAAGGGAGTGCGCAAAGCCTAGTTTATGCAATTCTCTGATGTTTTTTTAAGTGAAAATAGGCCGATGTGTACATGTATACCGAGTTTATGCAATTCTTTGTCTTGTTATTTTAGCTTTGTGTAGCGGCGAATTTTTGCCCAAAAATCGCCGCTATGCAAGCCAAAATAGCAAGTCAAAGAATTGTAAGAATTGCACAAACTCGGTATCCATTTACCGCCAAAAATAGCCAAGGGGTACCCTAAAATATACTTTTACCAAATTTTCTACTATGGCAGCAAATGTGTTAATAAACAACGATCATGTGAATTATTTATACAGCTACCTTTGAACCATGAATATATTATCTACAATCAAAACATGTTTTAAAAGACTTGTAATTTTTCTGTGTGCATAAATTCACTTTTAATATTTTTTTCATGTCAATGCTTTCTATATTTTCTAGCTTGTTAATAGTCATTTGAAAATTACGCACAGTAGATCTCTTTTCTATTAATTTATTAACTCATGAATTATTTCATCTTATTTTGCAGAAATTTATGATTCTACAGCAATTTTAGGTATAGCAAAGAGATTAGGATATCGTGTGCAAATCATCAAGAATCCTAAAGAGCTAGAAAGTCAAGCAACAAAATCTTTTAAAGATCTTGTAAAACAGTAAGTTTTGACAATATAAAGTTATTTTTCATTAATAATAGATATTTTAATGAAATTTATGTGAAATGTGTATTACTACAAAAATATAGATAATAACTAATAATATAGATAATAAGTAATAGTGTAGTGATATAAGTTAGTATATAGCTTTAAAAATATGACAGCTTTGTTGACAGAAGCTCTTTTCTTACTCTCAAATTATCAGATTATTTTTATAAGTTTTAGACAACTTTTAAATACAAAACACTGTTTGAAAATGAAATTTTTAATTAACATTTTATATAGAAATATTTTACTCTTTGTAGGCCTCCACCCAATCCTAAAGATTTAGTTTCACGGCCACCTGTAGTCGCAATTATGGGTCATGTAGATCATGGCAAAACTACTTTATTAGATGCTTTACGTCATTCTTCTATAGTGTCCCAAGAACATGGTGGAATCACGCAGCACATTGGTGCTTTTACTGGTTAGTTGCATTTACTTTTCATAATTTTCTCAGAAATTCTGAAAAACAATTTCATTGAAAAGGGTTTTATATACTTTTAAAGGTTGTTTATGTAATTTGAAGTTTCAAGAATGCCAATAAATCAAGACTTAGAAATGTAATTAGATATTTATCAAGTATCTATCAAAAATCTGTGTTCTTGATTAACAATATCTATCAAGAATATGTACTGTAGATATTTAATTGTGTTTTCAGTTCTCTGTTATGTGTGTAATCTTGTATATTATAAAACATTTGTGATGATTTATTCTGTGTGTAGGATGATTCGCTGCCAGAACAAACTTACAGGAGATGTAGGGGACACGAAGTTGATTTGAATTCATATCAAAATGAAGCATTAACAGAAAAATGGCTTTGTGCTGCATATGTTCATGCACCAAGGGGGTCATCTAAAGCCCACAAATAGGCATTATGTTGATTGAAGGCTCTTTCTCTTGCGAAAAATGCCTCATCCATAAAGAATATGGAAGCAACAAATGCGTTATCTGCCACACACACACACACACACACACACACTGTTGAAGATACCTAGTAGCAAATTTCCTCCGGAATGGATCATCCTCAGCTTCCAGTGCTTGAAAGCATTGCAGATGGTACAAATGCATTTGGTTTTCTGAAAGTATTGTCCATACAATGGATTGAGACAAACCCAATTGGTGGGTTATCATTTGAGTACTCGGACTCAGATTGCCTTCTGCTAGATGTAGGGCATACTTCTCATTGTCTGGCATCCTCATCGTTCACTCTTAATTCATGGACACATGGTTCATGGTAGGTCTGACATAACCTTCTGTGCAGACATGGGAAGATTGTATGATGAGCCTGTGTGGGAAATGTTCCTGGTGCAAGTGTAAATCAATGCGCCCATTACTATCCGTAGCTTTATATGCAAGGTGCACATCAGCTATTTCAATGTTTGAATACTCATCCATCCTAGTGCCTTGTGAGCCAGCTTGCAAATGCTAATTCCAACACAACTTCTGTTCATGTGGCCTCCTGTTCAACACCATTTACTGCATGATGAAGGCATTTCCAACACTGCAATGTCATGCGATTCTGAATCGTCTTTAAACCTCCTACATCTCTTATAAGCTTGCACCACTAGTGAATCACCTTGTATATCTAGATTACCACAAATTGTATTGATTGCATTTATGTTGTTGTTACAAAATACTAATTTCACCCCTCCTTTGTTATTAATGTATGAATCTGTTTCCATTTGAGGTAAATGCAGTTATTAGAAAAATACATATAGTCAGTTCTATTGATAAAATTTATCGTGCTATAATAAAGCAGTCATTTTACTGTTGTTTTGTTATCAGTGCACGAACCTTTTTACATGAAAAAATATCACACTATCTTTTTAATTTTGATTTCTATATTTTATATCCTATAATACAATATTGTTGTACTCAATAACAGACTATTGATTAATTTTGCACAAGCAAATTAATCATATGAATTAATAAAATATACTAAACTCAGTGGTGCAGCAGTCCTAGTGGGCCAAGGCTAGCAGTGCCCTGAAATCTGCTTTCTTCACCATAGGTTCAGGGCAGCTTAAGGATATGCCCTGAATAAGTGGTCAGCTTGTCGCTGAACCCCCAGTATTTAGTCTGTAAATGAACTTGGTACTCATTTTATCAACCTAAGGGATGAAAGGCTGAGTCGACCTTGCCCAGCCGTGACCTTCGAGAGGGAGAAGGCCATGACACTCGTTGAACAAGTCAGAGATGAGTCATGCTTTCCATCCATCGTTTTTCCACCATTAGTTTTGTAACTACCACGAGGCGTGAGTACGTTCTTGTAAAGCTCTATATTTGTCAATATAGTTTTTTGTTTAGTGCTGACTTTGTTAATATTGTAGCAATGCCTGATCATCGTTGTGTACCTAAGTGCAATTCTAATTATGCTGGAACTGAAAATTACGTGAGTGTGTACAAATTTCCAATGAATGAAAGCAAAAAAGCAGCTTTGGTGCCGTCAGATTGCTCGTGCGAATTTCATACCATCTAAGCAAAGTGTTGTTTGTGAAAAGCATTTTTACGAAGATATGATTGTGCGTGAAGATGTATTCACGGATAAAAATAGGGCAATTTTAAGAATTCCAAGAAACGTCCAATGTTAAAAGACGATGCATATCCATGTATATTTAACGGCTGTGATGTGGAGTTAAATGTATCAATGAATGAACAGCAAGCTTTAATATATATATGTATAGCTTGTTATTGTGTACATTCTTTTAAACTGCAGTGTGTAATCTGCAAAGAAAAGATATTAAGTTTGGATAATTTATTGATTGAAAGGGGAGATTATAATAATCTTCCATTATCTCAAACAACAGAAACCAAAGATAAGTGCACATATATGGTAAGTAGAGGTGGCCTTAATAAACCACCCATATTAGTTTTTAATAGTATAATCCATAGTTGTTGCATATTTAGAAAACATATATAAAAAAAAATTATGAAACACATTTTCAAAAATGCCAAAATCAGCATTCAGTCATTATTTCACTTTTTAAAATACTTATTAGTGGGCTACTTGGTAATGAAATATGTCAGTCTTGCAACTGTGATTTCTTTAATATTGTCATCAAAATGCTAAATACATTGGCAAACATTTGTTTAAACAATTATACAAAAGTATTAGAAGGTAGTAAGTTTTCTTCTTCAAATGAACGAAAACTAAAGAAATTTAAAAAGAATTAAGTATTTTTATTTTCTTAATTATAAAATGCAGTTTTATTAATTTTCTTATAGTATTTGTAACTCCAAGTACTGCAGAGTTTATGCCATTTAAAAGATAATTTATATGTATTTGCTAAGATATGACCATAGTATAAATATGTATATTTGAATTTAGAGTTTTTACTATTAAAGTATATGGTTTCCATTGCTTAATTTGTGTATGTATTTGTGATAGCAGGAAAATTCATGATAAATGGGATGAAAAAAAATGTTTCACTGTACGCTATTTCGTGAAGAAAGTCTTTAATGTACGTGGTATGCTACTGTGTATATTTAAAGATTTTCTGTGCAGTTTATGAGGCAAAGTTTACTGATTTTAGAAAATGTATTTTTTGAATGAAATTATCATGACAAAGAATAGAATACGTTAAGGTATGATAGAAAGAGCAGAGAGAAACCACTATAAATAACAATAAATATGAATGTTTGATTATATGATTTTTGTTATTTAAGTATAACTTTAGCTTTGTTGCTTAATTTGATATATGTGTTAATAAGGAAGCAATAAATTTAAAAAAAAAATTGACATGCTGTTTAATGAAGAGCAGATTTTAATGCCCGTAGTAAGTTATTGTGTATTATTGAAATCCCTACTTAGTAATATGCAAAGAAAGGTTAATAATTTTAAAAAGCATATAAATGATAATCATAATTCCTATTATCCTAAAATTTAGAAGCTAAAATACAGTCAAAAGTCTTTAATCTGGACTTGCCGTGACTTCGGCGATTCCGGATTATTGATTTTTCCGGATTATAGATTATCAGTTTAAATCTCATAACATGGCATGCAGAAATTATAAAATTAAAAATATGAAACCATAATTTATGAAATAAAGAGCAATTGTGATCTAAAGAGTATCAAAATTTACAAAAAAAAAAAAAAAAAAAAAAAAAAAAAAAAAGCTTAATATTTATTTGTTTACTTTTAATGCGCGCATGCGAAACCCAAGATAGCATCAGCTGGAGGCCGAGTCTAAACAAGAATAATTAAACACACACACATATTATTACAATAGTACCAATAAAATGCATGGCAGGCGCATAATGCTAAAGTACCTAAAGATTTAATAGTAGAAGAATTGGAGGCTTGGGTGTGCAGTGACTAGCGCATCACACAGCAGCACCACAGGTCCAAAGTTTAATCCCCGGACTGGGCCCTGACCTTCAAGAGGGAGAAGGCCATGACACCCGAACTATAAAGGTGGTAAAAGATAATTCATCACCACCAAAATTTGGCAGTTGGGTCACCTCATCCCTAATCACCCTTTAAAAGGGGAAGTATATAAAGTAATTTCTCTCTCATTTCCACATGCCTTTGTGGTGTAATTGAAAGCATATTTGAGAGGTCCAGGGCTCGAGTCATTTCACATTTTTCATGTCTCCTGCTTCAAAAAAACCTAATGACTCCACACCTTACAAAACAAACTAGCACACCCAGAAAGAAGGAGATGTTCTAAGAAAGAATCTAAAAATTACTGTCTTTTTGATCCAGACACTAAATCCATTAAAATATCAGGAAATGGTATTTTAATGAGAAAAATATTAAATATCTCAATAACATCAACATCCTTATTCTGAGTCAATGAAAATAATGTGAATTACAAGGATTCTACAAATGAAGTAGAAGATAATTTGCTTAATAATTCTTCCAACTCAGTTAAGGAAGATAACCTCAGTTCTACCTCATACAGTAACCTCATTTATAAACTCTGTAACACTTGAAATATATGAAAAGGCAATGAACTTCCCTCAAACAGACAGTTAGAAAGAATCCATAAAAATCCATAAATGGAAAGTTAAATTCTTTCAATAAAAATAAGACAACGGGATCTTTTACCTCCACTAGGGGCAGGTAATATAATTGGATGTAAGAGGTTGTTCAAAGAAAAATTGACATGTACAAAGCAAAATTTTAGATGAGGGGTTCTCTCAGATTGGGGGTGTGGACTTCAGTGAAACCTTTTCACCAGCTTCAAGATAAGATTTATTAGATCACTGTAAGAATCTTATTAGCTATAATATATTCACTGTAAGAATCGCATATATCACTATAATGTTCACTATAAGAATCTTATTAGCTATAATATATTCACTGTAAGAATAATATATATCACTATAATATTTAGGTACTATTCCATTTTGAGGACCTTAAAAAAATTGCATGCACAAAAGCGGCAAATCTATCAAAAACACCCATTTAACAGCGTGCCA